TTATAAGCTTAATTTAATTCCTGGGACTCATGAAATTCTCCCATATAGCTGTACTACAGGCCAGCATCATCATGACCCAGCTCCTTTTTTTTTTGTTTTTATATTTTAAGGTCTCATACATAGGGTCTCACTATGTCCCCAGGCACGCCTGAACTCCCTATGTAGATTTGGCAAGCCTTGAACTCATAGACATCCTTCCTTGGTCTCCCAAATGTTGGGATTAAAGGCATGTACCCACCACACTGTATTACTAGCAGGCTAGGGTAGAGTACTACACAGTTCTATAGCCCTGACCTGAGACATTTTTGAATTGTCAATTTCCCTTGATTATAAAGAACAGATTAACAGGAATAAGATTATCTACTTGGGGGGGGGGAACCCTAAATTGCATATGTATTAATAACATGCTGGCTTAGAAAGGATAACTCAAGGCCAAGAAAAAGATCTTGGGGGTTTTTGTGCTGTTGTTTTGTTTTGAAACAGGGTTTCTCTGTGTAGTTTTGGCTGTCCTGGAACTCACTCTGTAGACCAGGTTATCCTAGAACTCAGAGATCCTCCTGCCTTTTCCTCCCAAGTGCTGAGATTAAAGGTGTGCACCATCACTGCCTAGCTAGATCTTGGGATTCTGAAGTCAGTTTCTAAAAGTTAACAGTTTATACTTACTATCCTTAAGAAATGAGAAATTACCAGGAACCAAAATGAGAAACATAATCCTACCTGATCTAAAATCATATATTTTGTGCCATACAAACTACACTCATTCTCTAAAAGGCTAAAAAAACGATAAAAAATTTTAAAAGGGAATCCAGGATAGATGAGAGATAAACACTAATTCTTTTGTTTGTTTTTGGTTTTGCTGCTGGGGGTTAAACCCAGGACCTCACAGGTCGTGTATCACTGTTAGCCACAAGACTCTTAAGACATATACCTTCACAGGGCGGTGGTGGCGCACGCCTTTAATCCCAGCACTCGGGAGGCAGAGGCAGGCGGATCTCTGTGAGTTCGAGGCCGGGCTGGACCGACAGCCTCCAAAACAATACAGAGAAACCCTGTCTCGTAAAAACCAAAAAAAAAAAAAAAAAAAAAAAAGACATATACCTTCTTTGTAAAGACTGAAAAGATGCACTGTTGGGACATAGATGAGTACAGATTTTACTAAATTACGAATTTAAAATTATACCTCAAAGCTAGGAGGGGAAGGAAATTTGTATGATTGAAAATTACTCCATAGCTAGTGTAAGTAAGCCTAAACATCCCCGTTGAGTGGTTTTACATCTTCAGATGTATGCTGTGTGATGTGGTGCTTGTCCATCTTTAAGGTCCCACCCAAGTAATTGTTCTCAGAGACTCACAGCCTTCCTTTTTTAAATTTATGTATCTCTATCAGTCTAGTTATTCCACTAGATTATTTCCCTAGACATAGTATCAAATACTCTGGGTGTGCTTGGTGCCAGGAGGCCAGAAGAGGATGTCAGATCTCTTGAAACTGGAGTTACAGGGGCTGTGAACTATTTAACCTGGGCACTGGGAACCAAACTCAGGTGTTGTGGAAGAGTAGCACTCGTTCTTAACCAACGAGATCTCTTTCCAGCCTCATTTTCATGGAGTTCTTATTATAACAGGTTTTTTTTTCACAACTGCTGACTTTCACATGCAAAATTAAGTCAAGATAAATACCTTTTTTACCTTTTTATATTAAAACTAAAAAGTTGGGTTGAAGATGATTAGGTGAATATTTTTAATAGCTTAGGCCAGTTCACTGACATTCATTAGCAAAGTGACTTATTAGAAACTATTTTTGATACTCATTATAAGTGATTGAAATTTGTTATAGGTTGGCATATTGCAATGGTATATTATTACTATGGCTTCATAAAGTGGACAGAAAAAGCGATGTTTTTAATTTTGGCCAAATTAGGTTTACCCTGAACTTTGTCTCAAAATTTGCTTGTTTTCTAGTGACGCTGATTCTGGGGTGGAATAATGTCGCCATCCACTGTGCAGATTGTGGTATGACAATGAGCAAAGCCAGTTTTAAATTAACCATGAAGTAAAGATTAAACTAGTCCATCTACACATTATATTTCTCTTAAATGTGACTGGCAGTAAAAACTTACTGAATCAATCAGCTATTCTAGAAGTCCAGTGACACGAGGTCTTTAGGACTTTAACAGCACATTCCTTTAAAGCGTAGATGGGCTGGGCAGTGGTAGTACACACCTTTAATCCCAACACTTGGAAGACAGAGGCAGACAGATCTCTGAGTTCGAGGTCACCCTGGTGTACAGAGAGAGTTCCAGGACAGCCAGGGATATACAGAGAAACCCTGACTCATACAGAAAAAATAAAGTATAGATGAACATATGCACACGTACAATTTACTGAATTTACATCTTTCCCAGTTCCTTTAACAACCACTATTTTGCAGGGTGGGCTGCCACAGGCCTTCAATCCCAGTACTTGGAAGGAAGAGGCAGATAGATTTCTGTGAGTTTGGATGCCAGCCTGGTCTACAAAGTGAGTTCTAGGACAGCTAGGGCTGTTTTACAGAGAAACCTTGTCTCGAAAACCAAACCAAATAAAAATAAAAGACACACACACACACACACACACACACACACACAAAGGCCAAACTAACAACAAAATGCCCACCCCAATCACTTTTTAAAATAATTTCTGGGGGCTGGATAGATGGCTCAGACGTTAAAATAATTTCTGTTCATTTTTTACATAACTAGCCTGTATTTTAACAAAGTGACTATTTTCTCCTATACTACCAATACATCATTTATTTACTATTGTACTTGTGAGATAGGGACAGACAATGTAGTCCAGGCTGACTTCAAACTGGCAATTATTCTGTTTCAACCCATCTGAGTGCTGGGATTATGGGCATTCCCCCATGGCGCCCAGCTTTAAATGGCTCTATACCAAAATATCATTGGTCTATACTGAGGCTATACATGGGCATTTCCCATTATTTTTCTTAAATTCTCTTCTAGTAGTTTCATAAGCGATTTTCTCATTGTCTGAATATAACTCCTTGAAAGAAGTATTTCCAGCTGGGTGTTGGTGGCACACGCCTTTAACAGAAAATTCCTTTAAAGCTTAGATGAGCTGGGCAGTGGTAGCACACGCCTTTAATCCCAGCACTGGGAAGATAGAGGCAGGCGGATCTCCGTGAGTTTGAGGCCAGGGAGAGTTTCAGGAGAGCCATACACAAAGTAACTATTGCTGCATGCGGGAAGCTGTCTTTGTGTGGCTACAGTTGGAGCCAGCTGACTTGCCCAGTTCGTACCTGAGCGGGGGGAGTTGGAAAATGACTTTTGTTTATTTAAAGTATAGCTATGAAAGGTAATCCTCCACTGCACAAGTCAGCCTGGACTACAGAAGAGCCTGTCTCAAAACTGAAACAAGAATCTACATGTAAATATTTAAATGTTGAGGTAATTCTCAAAATATAAAAATCACTGAAAAACTGGGAGCCCCACAAGAGCTCACACTTCAACAAATGGATGAAATTTACTAGTAGGTATCAGCTTTAGTTTAAAAACATTCATTTTAGTTCATTTGCTTGAGAAAGAGTCTCACTATGCAGCCCTATGTGGCCTGGAACTCAGCATATATCCACCTGTTTGTACCACCACGTCCTGCCTTAAAAATCTTTTAAATTAAAAAAAATATTTGCGTTTATGATGTGTGAGAGTCAGGGTGTGTTCAAGCTACTGCTTAAGGGTGAGATCACTTTTCAGGACTTGGTTCTGTCCTTCCATAGTAGCTTTCTGGGGGATTGGACACGAGATCTTATTGTTTGGGCTGGGAGGGCTGTTATTACTGAACCACTTCATTGGCTCAAGGTCCTGGGTTTAGGTGTGTGCTTTTCAATTCAAAAGCCAGGGCTACATTCTAAAAGTATTTACTGATCACCTACTTGCCAGATGCTGTTTTTTTGTTGTTGTTTTGTTTTTAGACCTTAGGTTCACAGGAGTAAATAAAGCTCACAGAATTTATACTCTAATGAAAACAGATACCACAATTAGTTGTTCCCTAGAGAGTGATAAACGATATGAACAAAATATGAAACTGGGTGTTGAAGTACAGGGCATGGGTTGCAGGAAGGGTGTTTGCACGAATACATTCATTTAAATGCCTGGCTGGATCCAGTGGGAACCCGAGTTTATGACTCTCATTAACGACCAAATCATTATAAATGTTTTTGCACTATAAAGCTTGAGCAAGTCAAAAGCAAGAGTGTACTTCTACTCATCTTTGAAGATTACTCAGATCTGTCAGCCTCTTGCCTCCCAGGTGCTGCGATTAACGGCATGCACCACACACAACTCCTAGCATAAGGATTTTTAATTATGTTTATGAGTGTGGGTATGAGAACGTGAGTGTAGATGCAAACCAAGACCAGAAGACGATGTCAGGTTCCCTGGAACTTAAGAGTTACCGACAGCTCTACCCATCGCCCCCCTCCCCGCCCCGTGGATACTAGGACCGAACTTTGCCAGCAAGGGCTCTTAATTGATGAGCTATCTCTCCATTTCCTCCACTCATCTTTGTGAAAACAAAGTTTGGACCACGAAATACAAAGATGTTTTCAAACTGGAGAGATGAGAAGTGAAGGTTAAGAGTGTCTCCGCGCTCTCTTTCCCGAGTGACAACCGAAGGATCCAACCAACGTCAGCAACCCAGAAATCAATCCGTAGACTCTCAACGCCTCCCATAGGCCAGCGGTTCTGTTTCCATAGCAACCTGGACGCGAAGCACGCGCGGGGTCCCAGTGGCCAAGACCTGACCTGGTACTCAGAAAGTACTCGGGTGAGAAGGGGACCCTGTGTCATAGCCTGGGGCGAAGGGAACCACATCCCGGGGCCGCGCACTCCGCCTGGCCTCCGGAACGCAGCAAGCTCGGCGGCTACCGGAGTCTCCAGCTGCCGGAGTCTCCAGCTGCGACAACTTCCGGCCTCGAAGTTTTCCCCCGCCCCCGAGGCTCGCCCGGGTCCTCGCCGCGGCAAGGTGACCGTGGCTGCCGCCTGGCCTGAGCAGGCGTCGGGCCAGGGGGCTGCCACGTCCTTAGGACGGCGGTGAGAGCCCTGCAGGTTGCTAGTGCTCGGCCATGCGTCGTGCGGCCCCGCCGGCGGGGCTGGAGCAGAGGACGGCCAGGCGCAGGGCGCACAGGCGCGCGCGGGGCAGGCGCGGAGGCGGAAGTGAGGGCACGGCCTGGCCAGCCGTCTAGGAAGCCGCCGCTGGTCGCCCAGCGGGAGCATTCGGAGCCCCGCCGAACCGTCGCGATTGGGCTTCGGATGCCGGCGCGATGCCTCTGTTCACAGCCAACCCGTTCGAGCAAGACGTGGGTGAGTACGGTGACCTGCACCCTCCGCGCCGGGGAAAGTGGGCGGCGGCCCTGGTGCCCGGGAAGCCAGGCGGAGAAGCGAAGGGGCGGCGCCGCTCTCGACTGCGGGGGGCAGCCTCGGAGCGTCTCTGGCCGGCCCACCTCCTACCTGTCAGAGATTGGGGTAACCATCAGGGCTGTTCCCGTCACCCAGGGCAGGAATGGGGGAAAGGCACGATCGCTGGAGGCTTAAGTTGATGATACAAACTTCCTGCTTTCTCCAGAGCTGGTTAACACCCTCCTCTTGGAAGAAGGTGCGGTGGTGGCCATCCTGCTGCCTAGGGCAGTCCCGAACCAGGGACCTAGACTTACCAGGCTTAGCTCTCATCGCTTCCATATAAACACATTCAAGCTCCGGTGGTTGCTGTTTCAATGTTTACTGACTGTTCTGAAGGTGCCGCGAGAGCCAGTCTCAGCGAATGAAAAGAGCCTCTAAATAGCGCAGAACAACCGATGTTTGTTGGAGTCAGACGTTATTCTGGTAATATAGGTCTTTCAGAATGAGAAAAAAAATAGATGGAGTAGGCATAATATTAACAGTAAAAGCAAACTGGCTGGCAACATTCTTTAAGCAATAGTTAACAGATTCCTAGCGACGTTTCAGGATTTAATGATTTTTTTTTTTTTTTTTTGGTTTTTCGAGACAGGGTTTCTCTGTGGCTTTGGAGGCTGTCCTGGAACTAGCTCTTGTAGACCAGGCTGGCCTCGAACTCACAGAGATCCGCCTGCCTCTGCCTCCCGAGTGCTGGGATTAAAGGCGTGCGCCACTAACGCCCGGCAGTTTTAGTGATTTTTGAGTCAAACAAAATGCTACATATTTTAGCAGTGAGCCACCAGTTCAGTTAAAATTCCTTAGTCAAGAGAAATCTAGAAAGTGACTCATTTTGTTCTGTAACTCTCAAAAGTCATGTTCAAGTGTATGAGAGACTAATTATATAGGAAGCATGTTGAGGCTTAGTCGCTGTTTTGGGATAATTGTTCTTTCATTATATTACCTATGTGAGGCATTGCACTTTTTAATTTTTACTGAATTAATTTAGCTTTGACAGATTAGAGTCTGTATATAATCCAAGCTGGCTTCACATTCCCAAAACCTCTCTCTTAGCATCTAGAATTCTGGGATTCCAAATGTGGGCCACCACCAGGCTTGAGACCTGGATGTCTTACTGTTACTGTAAAAGCTTTCATTTTGCTGTAATGAAATGAATCAGAAAAGGCAAAATAGAGGAGGCTATTTTATTGTTTCTTTTGCTATTTACGTGCGTGGGTGTTTTGTCTGTGTGTTAAGTTTGTCACTTGTGTGCTGTGTGTGAGAAGTTCAGAAGACCATGTTGGATCACCCGGCACTGGTGTTACAGAGGCGGGTGAGCCACCATATGGGTGCTGGGAAGAGCAGGGAGTGCCCTTATCTGAGCCGTCTCTCCAGCCCAAGACAGAGTATTTAAAATATAAAACCTGAGAACTCTTTCTTCAAGGAAATGGCCCATAGAAGCCTTCTTATTGCAAACATTTGTGGTAGCAGTAGTCTGAGTTGCTCTGCCCAGTTTATTTTTCTAAACTTTTCCCTCAGTGGTTTCTGAAATCCTTGCGTCACAGCTTAGTGTAGCTTTCTTAGGCTCTGATCTTCGGACAGAAACAAAGCAAACAAGCAAACAACCTGTGTAGACATTTCATGGGCTATGTCAACCAGAACTTGAAATGTTTCTTCGTTAGTTCTCACATGACTAAATTCAGTTCCCAAAATGCCAAGTTAAGGGTGAAAGAGTGAGTTTGATGGAGGCCCACCTGGACAAATGGATGCAGCTAGAAGACAAAGGGAATGGAATTCTAAGGAGCTCAAACTGGTCTGAGACTTAACATCAGAGGAAAATTACATGTTCTGGTTTTCAGACCTTAAGGACTCTTAATGTAAAAATGTTAAATAATACAAAGGAAGTCATAATCTGACGTGAGCATTACAGCAAAGTTCTTTTACAGTGCCTTCTCATTTTGTCTTTTCTTTTTTTTTTTCCTTTGAGACAGGGTTTCTCTGTGTAGCTGTCCTGGAACTCACTCTGTAGACCAGGCTGCCTCTTCCTCCCTAGTGCTGGAATTAAAGGCGTGTACCACCACTGCTCATCTTTTTTTTTCAGCATTGTTTTTATTCCCGCCCCCCCTTGCCTGTGTTCCCTCTTTATTCACCAAAAATTCATGATTACTGTGTATTAGGCATTGTGTTAAGTTCTACAGGGACAAAAATTTAAAAATATACCGAGTTCATGTTCACAAGACACTCAAGTGTAGGGAAGGATATGCTCAAGTAGATAGTTGCACTATGGTGTGATTAATGCAGTGTGATAATCATGAGGAGAACATAAGATGGTATGTATCCTTCCTTTTGCCTAAAAGTTGTCTACGAAGGCAACACAACAACAGTGTCAGGCAGGCGGTTTCCCGGGGTAAAGTTCCCTCCTTCATCTTCCTGACAGCATTTCTTCAGTAGGAAGCATGCACCTCTTACACTGTGTACAATAGGACACAAACTGGACAGTGTCCAAGAAGAAAGTAAACGCGGAGGACTCGGTGGGAAGATGCAGTGGCAGTACCATCCACAATGGGCTGCGCTCTCCTTCATCAATCACTACTTAAGAAAATGCCCAGCTGTGCAGTGGCGGCGCATGCCTTTCATCCCAGCACTCGGGAGGCAGAGGCAGGCGTATCTCTGTGAGTTTGAGGATGGGCTGGACCGACAGCCTCCAAAACAATACAGAGAAACCCTGTCTTGTAAAAAACAAAAAAAAACAAACAAACAAAAAAAAGATATCGGCAAGCGGATCTCTTCCCTTTTGCAGCAATCACTGGAGAGGTAGCTGCCAAAGTGAAGTTCAATCCCTTTGTGACTTCTCAGGGAAGCAAGAACTGCAAAAGGCATTTCAGCTCACCTTCTCACATTTGGAGGAAGGTCATGTTTCTCCGCTTGCTGAAGAACTGAGACGGGTGTAATGGTTGACTTACGCACAGTGAAGGAATGGTGAAGTTCAGGTTGTTTGAGGATAGTACAAAGGTCAACAGATTGGTGGAGTGGTCCAGGTATGCAGGAAGAAATATTCCGTCTCTAGTGAATGGGTGCAGGTTGTTATAATTTTTGTAATTAAAAAAATTGATTACAGACAAACATGGCTTTTTTATTTTTTGTAATGTAATTTTTTCCTATGCCTTATTTTGCTTGCATGGTTCCAGAAATGCTAGTACTTTCAGATAGTTTGAAGGTTTAATTAATATCTTTGATGTTTTCTTTAAAATGTGAACTATTTTGAGCTTAATGAATAAAACGCAGCATGAACTCCCATCCTTGCCAGCCAACCGTCAGCTCCTAATACCATGACATGTTTGATCTTTTTAAAGAAGAGAGAACATTCAAGATGCCTTTGAATGTATTCTTAGAAGCTGTCATTTCCCCTCTTCTCCCTTCAGAGTTAAATACTCTCCAAAAAGAAAGCTCTATTTTTAAATTAGTTGTAAATGTGTATCACACAGAAATTCACTATATTCATTTTTTTTGTGTGTGTGTGTTTTTGAAGCAGGGCTTTTTTGTGTACACTTTATTTTTTAATTTTTTATTTGTATAGATTTTTTGAGACAGGGTTTCACTATGTAGCTCTGGCTGTCCTGGAGCTCACTATGCAGATTAGGGTAGCTTTTAACTCATGGGGATCCACCTGCCTCTGTCTCTTGAGTACTGGGATCAAAGGCATGAGCCACCACTGCACGGCCTAGAAGTATACACTCTTAACCTCTGAGCATATTTCCAGCCCAAGTAACAAAGATTTTGAATATAGTTTGGCTTACAACTCCTTTCCTAAAATTATCACAAGTACTAACTAACATTGTCAAACTCTTTTGCTAAAACAAGCATTGTTATAGAAACCAGAGACATTTGGTATTGCCTATACATTCTTTGTTCTTAGCCTTTCTTTAATGTATTTTTTTTTTTGCATGTATGTGTACTACTTGTGTGCCTGGTGCCTGTGAAGACCAGAAGAGAGCATTAGATCACCTGAAACTGGAGTTTTGAATTGTAGCGGACCACCATGTGATGCTGGGAACTGAACATGGTTCCTCTGCAAGAATAACACATGCTTTTAAACACTGGGCAATCTCTCCCGCTCCCATATTTTGTTGTTTGGAGATAGGATCTTGTTGTGGGTCCCAGGCTAGCCTGGAGCTTGAGAGTAACCTTGAATTTGCAACCTTTCTGTCTCTTGCTCCTTCCCAAATTCTGGGATTACAAATGTGCAATACTACACCCTATTCATCCTTTTTGTTTTAAGACTGAGTTTCACATTGGATACTGGCATCTTCGGCTCTTCCAGGCATTGTAGATATTACTCATGTTGTTAACTGCCCTTAAAATTTCATAATGGTTTGTAACTGCCAGTGTTTAAAGGATAAGCACTTGTTCCCTATACCATCCCGTGGAAACAGTTCTTTAGTGTAGAGACCTTTCAGCTAGCATTATTAGTTTCAGGAGGCCTTCATTTGATTTGCAGTTAAGGGATGTTGGAAATAGAGTATCTACTAATGCAGTTCTAGTTGGGACTGACAGTTGTTGCAACTCAGAGGTTGTTTACTGGTTGTGACATTTAAGAAGGCGTGGGCTTGGGTTATGACTTGGTAGATACTGCTGGCTTAGCAAAGTCATGTGGTAAGTTTGATGCACAGCACTGCCAAACAAAATAAAAAGGCTTGAAGGAAGCTGTGCTGATAAAGGTTTTTTAAAGTTCTGTTGTGCTGACTCCTTAATTCAGTGTCAATTTTTGGCATATGTCTCACTGTGTTTTAGCCTAGGCTAGCTTTGAATTCCAGGGTCAAGTGATCTTTCTTTCTTAACTCTCTGAGTGCTGGGACTACATGTCAATGCCAAAATGCCCAGCATTCTGGGGAGGGGGAAACAGCAGCAGAATGTATTTTGACGCAGAGGCT